CAGGTTCTTGTACCAGGTGCGGGCTACTCCCCTGAAGGTTGTAGTGAACGCCACACACATACAAGACTCACTGGCCCTTGCCAGGTGCATTTGGGACTAGAAAGCATCGACATGGTCATTGGGGTCAAAAGACCCTTCATACTTGTCTAGAGGAGGGAGTTTGAAATCCTTGGGCATGGGGACTGCAAGGAGTTCTGATGACAAGGGGGAAGGGACTGAAAGAATAGGGGCAACTTTTACCTCATCCGAGCTTGTTTCTTCTTTACCTAGGAGCTCGAGCAGGATGTGGGTGGTAGTTCGGTGACTTTGCCGGCCTCTTCACTGCTGCTTAGAGGGCCTGGTGTTGGCGCTACTTGCCTCGGTGTTGCCGAGGTTGATCGACCCGGACTGCTAGTAGTCCGCTGCCAAGGCGTCGAACTGGTTCTCTATGAGCGGGAGCTCGAACTTAGAGTGTCGATGTACTAACTTGAATGGCAAGGAGGTTCCCGATTCGCCGGCGTGCTGCGAGGCGGGGGTGATTAGTCTTTCCCTCCTGCCCAGGGATGAGGCCTACCTCTTGGAGGGGTCCTAGAGTTGGGAGGCTCCTCCTCGGTGAGGGCGCCCGCCCTGAGGGGAGGGCTTGGCCAGTTTCGGAGCAAGGTGCCGAGGTGGGAGCTGTGGTTGGTTCAGAGGCAGTTGGGGGAACTGCTGTTGATAGTGATACTGAGAAATGTGGTGCAGTACTTGCTACTGATGGAGCTGATGTTGCTGGAATTGCTGCATTTGGGCTTGCATTGCTCGCATGGCTCGCATGCATTGCATCAAGTCATTGAATTGATTTTGGCTAGTTGCCAGAGGGACAACAATAGGTTCAGTGAAAGTTGTCTCGATAGGGAGGGGAAGGGGAACATTCACAGGTGCCACCATGCTTGGTGCATTGAGGCTAGGGATTTCGTCCATTGAGAGGGGGATGGTGAATTGTCCGATGCATACATTGGCGGGCTGAGGGTGTTCCCCTACAGCATTCAAGTCGGCGTTGTGCCTATTGTTGCTAGAGGAAGCCATGGAAGCTAAGGTTTCTTTGAGAGAGAGAGTTAAATGATAGGGGAGGCTTTTTGAAAGGTTCCCACAGACGGCGCCAAATGATGATGCGCAATCCGATCAGTCCTAACTGTCGGTTACCTTGCTTCTGACGAGATTGGAGGTGCCTGAAACAAGGAAGAAAATGGAGACTTCCGGGGAGAAACCCAGTTGGAACACTCTGAAGCTCAAGTTAGTGCTCTTTAGAAGGCAAGGGAAATGGGGAATTCTAAGACCAGAAAGCGCAAGAATCACATACCTCCTTCCTTAGGAGATGGGGGTATTTTATAATCACCCTGTACATTTACTTCCATACCTCTGCWAGTTCGGGTATCATTACCTCTGCCAGATTGGGTGTCATTTCCTCTACTAGTTGCCGGTTGCTAGTTCGGGTGTCATAACCTCCACTGTTCCTTGTCAGGGCCGTCTCTGCCACGTCTGAGATGGCGGTGGTAGGTGGCCGTTGGAGGGCGGCTGTCATGTGTCGGACCCCTAATCAATCAGGTGCGCCGCCTCTGTGTACGGGCTTCCTRGGCATCAGGTACGATTGTTCAGTCAAGCGACTTGGAGCCGAAGTGGTGTGCGAGGTGGTCTTGAGTTCGGATAGAAGTATGGCCCGAACTGCCCCTGGGTGGGCAGTTTGGGTTTTTTGCCTTTTGTGCTCCTTGTAAGGCTCAGGACCTCGGAGGGAGAGCTCGGGACTCTTCAGCTCGGAGCTCGGGTTTGTAGGTTCCCCCTTGGGGGAGCTCGGGACTTTTTTCCTCGGAGCTTGGGTTGTGGGCCCGCTACCGTGCCGAACTGGCGCTTCTGCCTGGGCACTCTCGGTTGCTTCCACGTGTCGTATGGCCAAGGGGTTGGGTCAAATCTCCCTCCATCATATAGTATATAATATATTAATAAAATAAACAATTTTTTTCAATTTTACTATACTAATTTATTTAATTATTGTATATATAAGCAATTGTATACATCAAAATTCATATAAAATTAAAATTTTAAGTTTTTTTTTTCAATTTTTTTTAAATAGATAGGCAAAAATAGCTTTGACCCAGTCCATGGCCCGACTTGGACCAAGGCTTGGTCCACAGGCCCACACAGGCCTGGGCCATAAGCCGTGCTGGGCCGACCCCCAAAATTTTCACAAGAAGGGTGGCACGGCCCGTGACGGCCCGYGGGCCGTGCCGACGGCCCACTTTACACCTCTACCTATAAGTTTGAAATGTAAAACCGACTATCAGAGAATTTCAGAGTTTTATTGATTTTTTTGGGTAAATTACAAAGACCCCCCGTACTATGGGGTCTATGACAAAGACCCCCTTGTACTTTGTTTTGCGACAAACACCCCTCTGTACTATGACCGTGAGACAAAGACCCCTTCCGTTAGCCTTCCCTCCAAAAAAGCCGTTATAATATTTTTTAATCCCCATGACCTTCCGATACTATCCTTATGTTCCTTCACCTTTCTCTCTCTCCCCTAATCTTATACGGTTCGAGTTGTAGACACAATCGAGTCTATATTGATTGACTATGGTGGGCTGGCCAGTGCAGAGCAGATCAGGAGCGTTAATGGGATTGATGGCCAGGGACGATTGTGGAGTGGTCAGAGCCTTTTAATTCCGTTGTCGTGCACATGCTTCAATAACACTGGTAATGGCATTACGACAGTTTATTTATCGTATTTAGTGCATGCAGGGGAGAGCTTTAGCAGCATCGAAGCAACGTATGGTATGACTGTAGCAAAGTTGGTGGCCGTTAATGGGTTAACACATCCATCCTTAAAACTTCAAAGCTTCAACACACCCATTGTTGAATTTAAGACGCTAAACGAGTAGTAGTGCAGAACATCAACAGTTTGGTCGGATCAGAGGATATGTAGGTGGTGGAGCATTACTTCCTACCGATAAATGCATCGTTCTGCAACTGGAGAGCGAATTCATTAAGATAAGTACCCTGCAACCATCATTTCCAATACGTAGACATGCTCTACTGCTTTAGTTTGAGATAATTTTTTGTTGCTACTTAGTTCATGAAAAGGCAAAAAAAAAAAAAAAACCAAAATGAGTTTGTTGGAAATCTTGGTAACTCCCCTTATGGAAGTGGTAAAGTGCGTACTAATGTCTGTCGAGAGCCCTAGAAGAACCAGGCAGGTCTCACCGTACCATGGGTTGCTCCTCCTCCCTTCCAGAAAGCATGTCTTCTGGACGGTTGGATGGTTTTAGTTCTGATAATGTTGAAGCAACGGACTCAACAAATTTATGAGTGAAGCTGGTGCTTTTAGGGTACTCTGGTGTTGGCAAAAGCTATATTGTTCTTCGTTTTGTTCGTGGACAGTTTGATCCATCATCCAAAGTGACTGTTGGAGCTTTATTTTTATCATAGACAGTAGCATTGCAAGATTCTACAACAGTCAAGTTTGAAATATGGGACACTGCAAGGCAAGAGAGATATGCTACACTGGCCCCCCTTTACTACCGAGGAGCTGCTTGCCTTCCTTCGTTGCTTCACTCTCATCCGCTCTACCTCGCACTGATCTTCCTCCGCTGCCTTGTCYGTTGTCTGTCTTCCTTCATTCACTACCTCTCACTACCTCTCTCAATCCCATCCACTAGCAATCTTCACTGCACTGCTCTTCCACCTTGATCCGCTACCTCTCGCTGCAGTTGCAGTAGTTGTGTATGACATAACAAATCCACAGTCATTCAACAAAGCTCAGTACTGGGTTAAGGAGCTACAAAAACATGGGAACACCAATATTGTCTTGGCTTTGGTAGGGAACAAAGCTGATCTCCAAGAAAAACGAGAAGTATCCATTGAAGATGGTATGAACCATGCATAGAAGAATGGGATGTTCTTTATTGAGACATCTACAAAGACAACATATAATATTAATCAACTATTTGAGGAAATTGCTAAAAGGTTGCCTCGTGCTCCCTCTTCATGATTGCAGAAAGGACACCAATTGCACTACAGATTACAGAATTCCAATACCTCTCTTTCTTCTGCACTGTACTTCTGAATTTGTTTATATCGTGACTTGCCCTGTTATCTTTGATCTATTTATAATGGGTTTTCAGTATGATTAAAAAAAAAAAGTCTGTCAGGAAGCAGATTGGTTATATTTTTCATTACAGAAGGAACATGAACAACCTTAATGAACTCATAGAAATCTTAATTTTGAGGAGAGATCCTACACAACAACTATCGAGTGCAGCTCAAAAGAGAGGAGAGGAAGCCAATCGACCGGTAATGCAAACCTGGGCAGAAAGAGCGGATGCCATATTAACACAAGTTCATAGTTGGTTTCCTAACCCTGAAAATGCAGAGAGAAATAACAGTGAATGTTTTATTGGATATTGTCCTGTTTGTTACGTTTTTAGTGAAATAGCAGAGTTGAAGATAGTGGAGATCAATTCTCTAATTGGCGAAGCAAAACTGTTTATGAATGAGAGTTGAAGATAGTGGAGATCAATTCCTCCGTCCTTTCATTTCGGAGAGTTGGGAGAGAGAAAGAATGAGAGAGGACTGTGAGGGAGGGGAAAAGAAGATAAGAAAGGAAAAACCATAGGTTAAATAGGTTTTAAGAGAAAAAGGGCAAAAAAAATAGAAAAAGTTTAGTGGGATATTTTGGTAATTTAATGTATTCCGTCATCTAACTTAACGGTCAAGGGGGTCTTTATCGYAAAACAGGACAGGGGGACTTTGTTAGAGACCCGTACAGGGGGTCTTTGTAATTTACCCTTTTTTACCAACATAGAGCGTAAATTTAAATATATAGCCGTCTCTTACTATAATTTTCCCTATTTAAAAATATATTTTTAAATAAAAAAACAAAAATAACTGCGTCGGTGCAACTTTGCTTTATTACGCAGTTCCCACTAACATGAACAGCACGCACAACGCACCACCTGCCCTTTGCCTCGTATAAAACATAAGACAAATCAAAGCTGTCTTTGATTCATCGTTGTTCAGAGAGAGAGAGAGACGAAACGATGCCGGAAAACCAGGTAGAGGACGACGATGACGAGGGTTTCGGAGACTTCAAGTTCGTGTCGCCCTCTGATCAACCACTCAGCTTCAGTCAAAACACAAGAGTAGATGACAATTGGGGGGATTTCATGGACAATTTCTCCCAGAAGCAGGATTCCGTAGGAACTTCACTTGGATTTGAGCCATATAATGGCTTTCACACTCAAAACCCTACTGGTTTCCTTCAAACCGAGAAAAGCTTTGATCCTTTCGGTTTTTTGTCGGGTCATTCGACAAAAGTCCCTGAAGCTGACTCGAACCTTGGTGAAGACGGGAAGCATTCGGCTTCGCCTGTTTCTGATAAACGGTGGGAGAAGCCTCGAGGAGCTTTGCCTCTTTCGTTTTTTGGAGAGGAAGATAGAGAATCCGATTCTGTTGATTCTTCAACAAATGCTGCTATGGATATGTTTTCTCCTAAACCGGCTGCTCCTGTCAATATTGGATCAAGCATTGCTCTTACTGATCTTCTCGTGAATTTGTACAGTCAGGCTGATCAGATCAGAACTGAAAATGGCTCGACTTCCAATTTGGTAGATGAAAACAGTGACTTTGATGACGAGGGGTGGGAATTCAAGGATGCCTTCTCTGAAAACAAGGTTGGAGACAACAATTCCTCAGTACAGGTGATTTTTATTTATCTCTTTCTCTTTTTTTTTATTTTTTTATTTTTGATCTTTCACGTTTACTTTTTAAGCCGTTCGTGAGTTCTGTTAAGTATAAGTTGATTATCTTTTCATTTGGTTTTCATATTTCTAAAGTCTAAACTTCTATACTAGGCAGAAAAGACTCATGATTTATTCGAGGTTCAAGTGGAAACAACAAAAATCAATTCACAATTTCAGGTGAGTATTGTTCAGTTTCTAGTTATGATGGATACTGCCTATCTTTTGGCAGTAATGACTGTCTTACAATTGCATCGAGGGATCATTATCTGAAGATTACAGAGTATAGGACCTATTTAAATCTCCCTCACGTTTTCACGGCGTCCTATATGCAGTTTGCTCACTTTAAATGTGCTTATACTTCTTGTAAGATGTGATCAAGTAGGTTCTTTCTGGGTAATCAAGTCTGATGCCTTTTTACTTATCACAAGGTTAATGGGGAAAGATTGGAAAATCCCGAAGAATCTATACATGTATCTGGATTTAGCAACGGACAGGAGTTGTGTGAATTTTTTGTTAAAGAAGATGGGTTTTCYCATAACAAGTCTGCTGATTTTGACGATGGACTCGGGTTTGAGACAAGTTTTTTCATTCAGAATGGTTCTATCTTGGTTTCAAACACCCAATCCAAGCAGATTATAGCTGAAAATGGATCAAATTCTCATTCTGTCAATGGGGATATCAATTCTGTTGACAATTACTGGGACTTCAAGGATGCTTTTTCAGAAAATGGAGCTGTAAATGGCTCTTCTGAGAAAAAGGTAGGTAAATTTTCATTTGCTTATTATTGCCACTAGCCAAATTAAACTTTGAAAAACATATACATTTTTTGGGTTTTAGGAAGAACAACAAGGTGCTGGTCATTCTGGTGCTGGAGTGGAAGTACTCATTTTTGACAGTGAAACCCAGGTGGATAAAAAGGTAATAAATTTTTCATTTGCTTATTATTGCCACTGGCAAAAATTAAACTTTGAAAAACAATTACATTTTTTTGGGTTTTAGGAAGAACAACAAAGTGCTGTTCATTCTGGTGCTGGAGTGGAAGTGCTCATTTTTGACAGTGAAACCCAGGTGGATAAAAAGGTAATTAATTTTTCATTTGCTTATTATTGCCACTGGCCAAAATTAAACTTTGAAAAGCATATACATTTTCTGGGTTTTAGGAAGAACAACAAAGTGCTGATCATTCTGGTGCTGGAGTGGAAGTACACATTTTTGACAGTGAAACCAAGGTTGATATAATTTGTTTTATTTCTTCTATAAAATTTGGTGCTTCATACATGATATTTTTAGTTGTATTTGTAAGAGATGAGGTATTTGAAAGATTTTTACTGAGTTACAGCCTCATTTAATAGTCCCACAAGAAATTATTCAAATCTTGCATTTTAGATTCCCTCTCCCCCTCTTCATCTTTAAGATATTCTGTGCGTGTCTCTACCAGCAAGCACACACGGACACAGAAGTATGCATCAAAAGCAACTGACAACATCTTTTAGTATACAAGAAAAGATAAATTGAGAGATTATACAGTGCACTATTTTCATCATAATCATCTAAGCCTTGTCCCAACTGTATGGGGTTGTACATAAATCTTGTCTTTCATCATTCCATTCTACAAAGTGTAGTACAATAAAGTGTAGTTTATGTTATACAAAATACTAATGCTTCTTTTTTAACATAAATCATTAAAAAAAAAGAGTTTCTGTTTTAACATACTTATCATATGAAGATGTAAAGGAACAGAGATGATGCTTACACAGCATCTGTTACATATGAATGTTATAGGTCCTCAGGTGTACGAATTTCTACAGCTTATATTAACAACTTATTATTAACACAGACTATTTCCTTTTAACATGTAAATCAGCATGTTATGTATTATTCTTGTGCAAATCGATACAGGACAAGTATGATGTCATTAATGGAACTAAGATTGCAGGATTTAGTGCTTAGTGCATTGGTACACAATATGAAGGTTGAGTGGGTCATTTGGTAATGATGGACCATGGACCTTTGGAACATAGACACATCATTAGAGAATGGATTGTTTGTTAAACAGGAACTGGGTTACAAGGTCTGCCAATGTCTTGCCAGGCGCCCTAGCTTGGGAACGAGTGATTGGAGGGCCTCTTTGGGAGGTCATAGATTTGGGCTGATTGTATTGGTCCTCTACTGTATTTTAAACTTTCTATTTTCTTTGTTTGGTCAGTGAGGGGAACTGTTTTTTTGGTATTGTTCCCTTCTCATTACTCAAATGGAGGGGATTCCATTCGGAATTGTTCCTTCTAGGGTTGTCAAATCTAGGAGAAATTGTGATTAGTAACTTTTAATTGAGGCATACCCCCCTCTCTCTCTCTCGTTTTGATTATGAAAAAGGGATTACATTAAAAGAGAGAGAGAAAAGGGACAGAGATACAAAGCCTTACTAAAAGAGAAAAGGTGAAAAAGAGGGACCAGGTGAACAAAAAAAATTCAGAAGAGGGATGGTTGTGACCAACAGGCCTTTGCAAAGCATAAGAAAGTAAAATAAAGAAAACCATAAAAAATGGCACAAATGGATTGAAGGTCAAAAATACAAACTAGTGTTGAACTCTCACTCTTAGCAAGGTAATCTGCAATAGTATATGCCTATGCTGACATTTGAACAAGATGTCAACTTATTGGCAAGGTTCAAATTTCAACATGATATTCCTCCTATTGGGTGTATCGTATCGTATTGGCAGGGTGTTGATACTCTAAATAAAGGGGTTTTTGAAATTTGGATGTTTTTAGGGAGTAGGCAGGCCTAAGACTGATCCCCGACCTATTTTTGAAAAAAAAAACCAGAAAAACTATGTGTGCATGGTTCAAAGTGTTGATACACCCCTTCCGGTGTATCATGGTGTATTGATACTTTGAACCTTGCTTATAGGTCATGAAATTCTGATACAATGTGAGTGTTTCCATAACCTCACAACATACAATAGTGGAGTCACATTCTGCCACCAGCTCTCAGGCTCGAGAATGGGAAAGTTAGGATTTGGGATTTGGAGCTACAGCTCAAGATTATGGAGCTACAGCAATGAAAAGAGGAAATTTAAATGGTTGACCAAAGACATGGAAGTTCAATGCACATGGATAAGGAGAAGTGCGAACTCTTTTGCAGATGGCTTAGCTAGACAAGGGGTGAATAGGAGTTCTGTTTTTTGGGCTCAGCTGTAATTGTTTTTGTTTTTGGGTGTCTAGTGACAGTTATGGGGAGTTAAGCTATTTTAGCTCCCTTTCTGTGTATTTTCAGTCTTTAATCATTTAATGAAATCTCTGTTATTGATCCAAAAAAATAAAAATAAAAATCAATTACAAGGTTTTGCTGAAGGGGTGGATATCTGAGGGCTGCTTGATGGAACTGTTGATGGAAGGAATCAAGATCTTCCATCTTGTTTGTGGGTTGTAGTTTTGTTATTTGTAAAAATTTAAAAAAAAGAACACATGCAATGCTAGCACTGATTTTCCAAAGAACTCTTCAGATGCTTTCTAAGCCACCTCCTACATGTTTCTGTTTTGGACAAGATGGCTGAAGTATAGAAACATGATCGATAATGAATACCTTCTCTATAATTCAGGCAGGGGGATGGTTAGTCATAAATGCATTGGAGGTTAGGATTCTTTATCTTCTTTAGTCCACTTCTTGTTTCCTGATTTTGTTACTTGTTTAGTTTTTGTTTTACATACATTTAATATTTGTATTGCAGTCTAAAGTTTGTTAACATGATTTTACACTTCTGTTTCCTTTTAGCAAAAAATTAACAAGTTACCTAACAGGGAAATGGAGGTCAGAGTAGGCATCAGGAAGTTTGGCCCCTGTCCTTTTTTAGCAATGATAATCTGGACTCTGATGATGCCATGTATGTTCAGAATGCATCTTCCTACAAACCAAAAATTTATGCAGGAAACAGCACCAATAGTCACGGTTCCAGTCCACATCTTTCTTTCAATGATCTTATATCATCTTTATATAGTCAGGTTGAACATCCTTCAACTGTTGATACTACTAAAGAACCATTGGAAAATGGATTTAATTCAGCCCAAATGGGCATGAATTCACAATTAGTGAATGGACAAGGTGATGGTATGATTTCACAATTATTGAATGTACAAGATGATGACATGAATTCACATTTAGTGAATGAACAAGATGATTTCAACAAGAATTCCTGCAAGTTCAAAGATGCCTTCTCAGAAACTAGAGCTGGAGATCAAAATTACAGAATCACGGATACAGATGAAAAAATTACCATGGGATCAAAGCTAAGGAACTTTGTGGATATCTACACTAGATTAAAGGATCAAACATGTGCTGTTGCTCTTCACCATCTTGATGGTCTGAAGGTTGGTGAAAATTCATATTTCATATCTTTTTCTTATTTTTGACAATCCTAATTTTGTGAAATGTGGGCACTGCCAGAATGCTCAGAAGGTTGCTGCTCTTTCTGGTGAAGATGGAAAAGCAGTAGAGCTCCTGGAGGAAATCCAGGTTTGTAGTTGAAATTGGTTATTTAGGTTCATTTTTTATTAGTTATGATGCCATTTTATTAAATGAATGAAAGAATGGGTTATATATATAAGTAAAACAGCTAGTCAGGATCTCAATTAGGGTTGGCATTCCCCCAACCCATTTTTTGACCATTGCATTAGATTTGACCCCAGAAAGCTTTCCCTACTTCCTCCTTGTTTTGCACTTTTGCTAATGAGTCATCCAAGCCATTAGCTGATCTATACACCCACATAAAGGCCATTTGCAGCTCCCTATTCAAGCACTTCAATTCTTTTATGCTGTTAGTAAAGTTCCATGGTCCTAGATTTTTGATTTATCCAACCAACTACTACCCTCAAATCCTCTTCCCTCACCATGTTATTGCAGTATAGTGACTTTTATGCTGATCTGTACACCTACTTAAAGGCCATTTGCAGTTCCCTATTCAAATATTTCAATTCTTTTATGCTGTTTCTGAACTTCCACAGCCCTATTTATCCAACCAACTACTACCCTCAATTTCCCTTCCATCATTATGTTTCTGCAATGTAGCAACTTTCCAATCTCGGTCCATGTAGTATGGCTAGCAGTTCAGCATGTGTACAATCTGCATAACGAACTGCTCCAGAAAACTTCCACAGCCCTAGAATTTTATTTATCCAACCAACTACTACCCCTAAATGCCCTTCCATCACTATGTTTCTGCAATATGACAACTTTCCCATTCTCAACCCATGTAGTATGGATAGCAGTTCAGCATGTGTAGAATCTCCATAACCAACAAGTCCAGAAAAGCATACTTAATATTTCTCTTTTTGTTTCCAAATACACCCCTACACCTGAGGGTCCTGGGTTGCCACACTAATATTTGGGTTCATTTTCCTTCTATTAATATATTCCTCTTCTATAAAGATATTGACTTGCTTAAAATTTTCATGTATTCTGGATTAATCGTTGAATCTGTAAGGAACACTGTCATTCCTGTAGGAGTTAAAATATTGTGATTTGAATAAAAAAAGACCTAAAAGAATAGGGTTTACTGCTTGGCACTGACTGTGCAAAAAATTTTGTCTTGGTTCTTCATTCTTCCTAATTTCAGGTAGCTTATAAGAAATTGCATATGGAAAATGTGGTTCCTGAAGGAGCATTCTTAGAGGAGCATGCACTAAGAAATATTCGTGTCGATGAATTTATGCAAGAACAGGAGTTTCAAGTGCTTGACAGAGAATATCACTTGTTGAGAAGAATATCATTGGTATGACCCTTCATCTTAGTGAGTTCCATTTGGAGCACACAATTTGTTTGTAGATGAATAGTAGAATACCTCCACTTGTTCATAAGCTGCAATGGATTGCATTCATGCACAAAAGAAGGAATAAAAGAATAAAAATCAAACCCTGTCAAATAAGTTCATCCATTCTTGCGATTTTTATTCTGTTAGTAGGTTTATCCCTTTGATAGGGAACAGATAATTTATATGTCTTTATGTTTCTTTTGGGGTGGTTGGTTCTTGTAAGATTTTTGGAGGGGTGTGGGTTGGGATTTGGGTGAAAAAGTCTCCCATAGGAAATTGTTTGGGAAGTTGTTGTTCCTTAGCTTTATGTGGAGGTGTTCTCTCAACACCTATCTAGGTTGTATTTGCTTTTTCTTTTTACTTATAAAAAAAATCTGTTCATATCAATGATGCTGACGATAACAAAAGAAAGTTGATGTTGATGATGCTGCCTTGCTAGGTAGATAACTTTAAAAAACTTTTAATGGTACCAAAACCAAGCCATTTGAACAAGTAAGACACCAAAATTAAGGCTTATGGAATGTAAATCTTGATTTCACGCTTCTTTATTGGTGATAAAAGCCCTCTCTTGAGTTTCCTTTCCTACCTTTAAGGTTTTTTTGTTTTGCATGATATTTCTCTGTTACTGAAGAAAATGTATCCTAGAGCTCCATGGTATAATCATTCCAAAGCGCTTTGAAAGATTTGTTAAGTTTATACGTTAAATAAAACAAGGCAAACCAAATTCTCATTGTGGTTTGTACCAAAATAAAACTTAAACCTGATAATAAGGCACTTATTTAGAGACAGGATGAGATAAGCTCAGTTGCAATGCAGAGAGAGAAAGAGAGAGAGAGAGAGAGAGAGAGACTCAATATTCTTCCTCAAGTCTTTCAGATCTGGATCTGGCTACTTATAGCTGCRAATTGCAATATATCAAAGAGGGCCACACCAATTGCACGCTTCGGCCTTTGCATGAGTTCAGCCTAAGCGATGTGGATTCCTTGTATACACATACTTAATAGGAGAAACATAGAATTTGGCCATAATTCACCCAAATTGTATCTAGGGGTGCTCACGGTTTGGTTAACCAAACCGTGGGCCTATTTTTGAAACCGAACCAGTACTACCGGTTTATGGAAATCCAGTAACTGAACCGAAGCTGATTGGTTAACTGGTGGTTTGGTTTGTCGGTATATGTTATAAAAATATATAATAAAAAACTAGAAATATATATATATATATAAATGATATATTATATATTATACATTATACATTATATATTATATATAATGCATTCTTATTAATTTATAATATATAGAAAATATAAAATATATAGAAATATATGTATATTGGTTGGTTTGGTTAACTGTGGGTTTTCTATATTGGTTAACTGAAACTGAACCGGTACCTTCGTTTTTTTTTTTAAAATATGGAACCGACTGGTTTGGTTTTTCTTGCTCACCCCTAATTTTTTCCAGATCATGTAAATCTCATTTTAGATAGAAAATAAATGGTCTTACAGAACTAATATCAAGCTATATGGATTGATCTCAGTTAGGTTCTGGGGTCCTAAGTGAAGGATTCCACAAGTTAATTGAAATTACAATTCTTATTTTAGCTATCCAATGGTATTGAACTTTAATTGAATTGTCAAGATATTTGATGTGCATGTGTCTACTTATAAAAAAAAAAGATATTTGATGTGTATACACACTTTCCCTAACCTAACTTGAGCGGTCATGAACAGGCAGAGAAGGATTTGAGCTCAGCAATTGAACTTTTTGAGCATACCTTTTTTGTTCTAAAAATGTTGACCCTGGGGTCTATGGAAGAGCAATCCAATTATGTTACAACATTGTCAAAAATGATCTCAGTTTGTGCTGAAGAATTGAAACACAGTGCCTTCATTTGGAAGCAGTCAATGCAGAAGAACGCGCATAAGAAAATACTGTCTGAACCTCGAGGTATTATTTACTTAATTGCAACAATCTACTTCTTGATTAGTTTTAGCTTTATGTGTCTTTTCTAATACCCTACAAGTAGTCCAGGCCAGAGATATGTACTTGCCCTTGGAGAAATTTATAGAGTGGTTGAAGTTCTAAGAGTATCAGCAACAACAGTTCACAAGCCTTGGATACTTTCTAGTCTTGTGAGCCCATCTGATATATTCACTCCTTTAGAGGAGTGCATCGCTTTATGGTCAAATTCAGGTCTAGAAGAAGCTCTCCAGTCTCTATCCAATACAACCAAATGTGGATGTGAAGAAACTGCCCTGACATTGTTAGAATCAATCAAGTCTGTTCGTGATCTTGATGAACTGTCCCTTCAAAACCATCTTCTTGCTCAGTGGGAATCAGTTTGTCAGCTATCAGGATTATCCTTAGCAATGGTACCAGGTAATGATTCTTCAAATTGTGCTTTAGGTTTGGTTCTGCTGTATGTACATTTTACAGGTATGCAGAAGTGATGAAAACTTTAACCCCCCCCCAAATAAAAAAATAAAAATAAAAATAAGAAAAAAGATGGTCTGGCTGCTCTTGGTTGGTAACTGGTAAAATTGAATGCTCGGAATCACATCATAAATTTTGGGTTTTGGTACTTACCAGGAGAGACTCACCCAAACAATGATTTTGATTTTTTTTTTTTTTTGAGATAATAACAGATACTTGTTTGTTAAATAGAAATAAACAAATTTAACAAGTCATTTTTTTGTCTGTCCATCAGACCCCTTACAGGTTACCAGTTTCCACATACATTTCACAAGCTCTTGCTACCTACAACATGAACATAATTTCTAGTAATAGTAATCCTAACCAAAAACAAGAAAAAACTATTAGTGCCCATTTGCTCTTCCTGTGCTAGGAGAAAGCATGATTTTAGGCCTTGGTGCAAGCCCTAGAAGCAGTAGTAGTCTTGCCCTGCAAAAGGAAACAGGACTAAAGAAAAAATAAATCCCAGCTCTCCTGGACCTTTTCTTCTTGCCCTAGCAGTATCCCATTTTGAAGCCAACCTAAAATGAGCTTCAAATCTTCACAATGGCTAAAGAGTACAGAGAAATAATTAAGAAAAAGAAATAAACAAAACTTTGTATCCCATTTGTTAGTCTGAACAACTCCAAACAAGTCACCAGCCATTTAAGAAGAGAAACAACAGTTTCTTCCTTTCCTCGTGCAATTATGGTTTTCTTTTTCTTTTTTTCTTCACCTCAGCTTCTACTTTACCTGATCCTCCACCCAACGTCCCATTCCAATACACAGTTGAATCTCCTTATCCTCTATTCTGCTCAATATCATTTGTGTTTTAGACTTGTTTCAGATCCTCAAAAGGAAATAAAATTCTGCCACTACTCTCTTGAACTCCTTGGAGATTTCCATACCGGCATGCCCACCTCCAACTCCAAGCCCATCAAGAGAAAAACCAAGGTTTGGCTTGAAATCCTGCCAAGAAAATCCAGTTGGGTAAAATGATTTCAAATCTAGATTTGGCATCGGCATGAAAGAATTCAACCCCCTTGAAGTAATTCCACTTATCAGCAACTCAAGAGCCAAAAGTGAAGGTGTAGCAGTGGAAGAAGAACAAGGGTTAGGGCTGTCTTCGTTGGTGGTGGTCTCAATCTTGGGTACTCGAGCAAATTCGGAGATAGCCTAGAAATCTTGTGTGGATGGGAAAGCCAGGTTGAGGTCTTGCCCTTTCTGGATCTTTAGGTTTTGAGAAGAGGATGTAGAGCTGGTTGGTGGGGTTAGATCAGACAACTTTTTTGAGGAGGATGAAGCTGACGAATTTGAAGATCTCTTGTTCTTTCTTGAGCCTCCTCCAACAGGAACATTTCTGAGAGATCCACCTTCAGTCCAGTACCTTCTACAAGTCTAGCAGAAGTATCTTGGTTGAGTGAGACTATAGTTGTTGTAATAACAGAATTTGGTGTTTGTTGAATTGCACCTCGGACAATTCAAAGCTTGTTCTTTCTGAGGCTTGGCTCTCCTCTCCAACATAGGCCTCCAACATGCATTAGAGACCACCTCCTCCATTGGTTTCACCAGTTCAATCTCCTGGAGCCCAAACAACCCAAAAAAAATGAAATGATAAAAATAAAAACACATATCTAGATCATAACTCAAAACAACAATGATTTTGATTCTTGACATCCATTCAATTTTACTCGGGTGGCATGTGCCCCAAAAATTGAAGAAATACCTTTCATCTCATTTTAGAATTTCTAGTTTTCATATACTTGCAAATAATCTTACTTTGGCTACTATTTTATCAAATTCGCCAGGCATGAAACTTGTGGAATGGAATGGGGGAAACTACTTTCTCACGCTTGCAAACTTGTGGGTGAATAGGGTAGCTTGTGATCTTCCAAAATTACCTTACATGGTTGTCAGTCATTGAGGAAGTCGGTGCAGAATGTAAACATATTCAAGCATCTCTATTCAAGTGTTTTGCCATACAGAGCTAATTGGAAGAAACCTGTTTGTTATATGGGAGAAGGAAACTAGGAAAGCGCCCGGGCTTTCGAAGAACGAAAAGGGCTCCATTAGAACAGAATGCACGTGTTGCTATTTCCATTAAAGATGCAGTTTCAGAAAATGTAGCTCCGGTTCCAGATGTTGGTTGTGGTTGCCGAGGCTTGTTTTGATCCGTCGAGGTAATGATTTTTTTTACGTAGTTTTTGCATTCTTTTTTGAAAATGTTGTAGCATGGGTCTTGGAACTTCRTTGTTATATTGTATTCATTTTTTGTATAAGATGTCAGTGCTGCGTGCACTGAGACGGTGGGACCAATTAAGATGTACCATTGTAGACTCTGGGACTCCCCTTCCCATCCCTTCCCAAAACAAAAAAGGGAAAAGAAAGAAAACAAAACAAATTCATTATTGTTGTCCTAGAAAACAATGAAATTTGTGTTGATTCCTCATTTATCCAACTAAACACGAGGACTTTGAATCAATGCTTAAAGCAAGAAAGATGATAATATTTTTTTATAAATGGAAGTATAACTAACTTATCAATTGCCAAAAGGGCCCTCCTATCCCCGTTAATGGGATCCTCGTTGACTTGAATATTTGCAGCAATGAGATTCGTAAGAATGTTGAGTCGTGGTAACGGGCAATTTGCTCATGTTCTAAATCGGTGAAAACAAGGCAATTTCAATCAATCAAATCTCACAACTATCAATATGGTTATGAAACCCAGGCATCATATTTACAACTCGCAGTGTATGCCTCGTATTTACAAGATGAAACCAAAATCGTTCAAGGGGTGTAAGATACTTTGTTCAAACCTCATTTCAGCCGATTTCAGAACATACCAGAGACCATGCAATTTTTTAAAGCTGTGGCATGTTCCAGAACCAACTGAAGTTGGATCAACATTTCTCGTGTTTCAAAACACATCACTTTTTACATGTAAAGCATTGATTAGCTACAAAGTCTATTATTCAAATCCCAGTTTCTTGGAAAACATCACACCACCACGGTAACGAATATCGATTACAGGGGTGGTGTGGTGTGTTCAAATATATCAGTGGGGAACACTTTTTGACACCACAGGAACTGGCCACATTTTTTGTGAATTAAAACACAACTAGCTCTTATATATCAAATTATGGACATAATTAAAATACCTCAAGAACACAACTCGCAGAACGAACAGGTTAAAACCAAAATCATTTTAATTACAGGAATCGAGTACAATTTTTTGCGAATCAAAACACAACTTGCTCTTCTATAAAATTATGGACATGCAGTACAAACAGGATGAAACCAAAATCATGTAGTTACAGGAACTAAGTGCAGTTTTTTGTGAACTAAAAATACACAACTTCCTCTTCCATCAAATTGTGGACAGAATAGTAGTAGTAAATTATCTCCTAATCCTCAAAAATACAGGCTGCACCTCGGAGGGGGAGGGGGAGAGGGGGCGGCAGTGAATCCAAGTGTCGGTATTCAATGTAAAATAGTCTTGAACGGCATGAAACATTGATCTTTACAATGGTCCTCGAGCAGCTCCCGGATTTTCTTATCAATAATAACTGAGAGGGGTATCACACCATAAATAAATACTAGCATAATAACCTGGACTGTTAATGAATAATAACTGAGAGGGGTTATCACACCATAAATAAATAATAGCATAATAACCTGGATTGTTAATGACAACCATACTACCTCAGAGAATGTCAAATGCCTGTATGGATGAAGACCTATTATTAATAAGTATTTATAAATAGGCATTGAATTTCTTTAAATTGAAGACCAGTACGATATTACCTCAAAGGCTCAAACTGAATATCACAGGCTCGTTGAATGCTAGACACCATATCGCCTCAGAGCTTTACTTAAGGCTGGCATTACATTATATGCTTGATAGGATCTTCTCAGCTCAATAATGGAACCCACCTGAACAAGTGCAAGACTAGTCAGGATGTTCACCCAGCAAAATAGATACCAGTTGAAAAGAAAAAGAAAYCACAGATGGCAGTGTACAGGACTCTTAAGTCCTCACTTGCAGCGCCATTTGTCCATGGACAATCACTACACACACACACACACACACATATATATATATATGTTATAGTATATGTATGTATGTATGTATGTATGTATGTATGAGGTGTAGGAAAATAATAGCAGCAGTGGGGTGGCACCAATTGCATGCCTATGATGGAAACGTGAAAAGCAAGTAAAGAATTCATGGAGAAGGAAAACAATTTTTACTGATTCCTTGTTCAATTGTCAGGTGACTAGAATTTTTGTCAAATTGAGTTTTTTAAAAGCTCTTTCCAACGTTGTTGGTGTCACAGAGGAAGGGTAAAAAAGTTTAACGTCTTATTAGAAAGTTGGAGTTTTTCAAAATTAAAGTTGCAATCATGCTACTTTCATTTTAATCTATATTTTAGGGGGAAAAGTAGTTATTATTATTATTATTATTTTTGAATAACAGAAAACTTTCATTAAAAATTAGATAAAAGAGTACAAAGTAGAAGGGGAGAGGTAAACCCTCTTAACCTCCCCTAGGGAAACAACAAACAAATTACAACATAGCCCAAAACATTTGTTCCCTTCCCACCCCCTAGCTTAGCAAGAGTATCCGCAAAGCAGTTGACACTTCTCTTTACCCACTGTAACTGAATTTCTAAATCTTGTGCTAACTGATTAAACAATCTTTTCTCATTAGCATACTTCCACGGACCGCCATATTCTTTTTGCAGTCAGCTTATGACCAGTTTTTAATCCCCTTCAACAATAAGCTTGTGACAGTTCAACTCCTTATGATTTTGATGTCCTTGTATAGGTCATCAAGTTATCTATCAAACAGGATGAATATCTTGTAAATCTAGCATGTTTTGAGAGTGATAGTTGTTTTACTAATAAATACAGTGTCGGTTTGCAAATAGGATTTGGTTGTTCCTATTTTTTTGTTTCTCTTACAATTGTTTCTTCTTTATTTAGTTTTAGGAGGATTGGTGATGAGTTACTGGAATACCTATGGATCTGTCTTAGTTTTGAAGTAGCTAAAAGCTGTTTCTAGTCAATTTCATGGTTGAAATTGGAGTTCGTGAAGAGGATTCGAGCCCTTACATTTTTTATAAATAGTAATTTTTATTGATATCTGAACCCTTATTTTGAGTCTAAAATAGTCATTATAATTGAAATTTAAGAGTTGATTTAATGGAATACAAGTTCGTTTTCAAGTTGAATATGGACGAGAGTATGATCTTTTTTCTCTATTTCCTCTCCCTATCTCTAAAGGTTTAGGCTTTCTTCTCTTTCTCTTCTTTGTTTAGATCTGAACCTCTTCCTTTCATAGTTTAGATTATTTAATTCCTCTTTCTTACCCAAGACATACACCCTAGTAAGAACTTTCTCCTTCCCATCCTATATTGGCCTACTTTTTGGGTCCTATACAGCAATTCGTTTTACAGACTTGTAAGCAGAATCTTTTAATATATTCATAGTGTCATTTTATGTTATGGACGCCTTCCTCGGGAAGACGTACCATCGCCGCCGGCAGCAACAGGCCCCGGGCCCACCGCCAGCAGCAGCAAGGATTCAGTGATGCTCATCCTACCCAG